AAAATTATAGGGCTTAAATTATACAAGTAATTGATCTGAATGATATTGCCCGCGTGATACTCTCAAAGAAATGAACTTGCCAAGCAATTCCCATCAATAAGGGAGTTTTAGCAGGATGTCTGAGCACAAGTAGAGGGTGATGATGATCAATATCAACAGGATGGAGAAAACTGATGCGAGGTTTATTCATGAGGTCAACTGTATAGACCAAAGAATTCCTGTATCACTAAATTAAATGGTATCCCTTTCTTAGGTCATTTTCTTTGTTTTCTAGTCTATGTGCACTTACACATGGAAATGAAAGGGAAATTTCTTCTTCACTTTCCCTTTTTTCCACAAGGAAGAAAATAAGTCAATGATGAGTAAATTTATTAGTTTGTATCTAGGCAGCTACTTTCTAGCTTCCATCTATTCTTCCTTCTTTTATGGTACTTGAACACAATTTCAATTAACCAAATAGCTTTTAAGGCCCAGTTTGGGATTGTTATCACTTATAAAAAAAGTTGCTTCTGTTGTGCTTTGAAAATAATTAGCTGTAAAGTAAAGCAGCTCCGTGTTTGGTAAACAATATTTTTAAAGTGCTGTTAGTACAAAAAGCAGTGTCAAAACCGTTTGGTAAGTTTTAATATAAAATTGTTGTAACTGTGAATAATGACTAAAATAGACATGATGTTAAAAGTGTTATGTAGTAATTATGTGATAGTAGTGGTAGTGATGGAGTGAAGGTGGTGGTGGTAGGGATGACGCTTGTGGAGGTGGTGGTGGTGACAGCATGGTGGTGGAGGTGGCAGCATGGTGGTGGTGGTGGTGGTTGTGGAGGTGGTGGTGGATGTGGAGGTTTTGAAGGAGGTGGTGGTTGTGGTGGTGGTGGTGGAGTTGGTGGTGGTGGAGGAGGTGGTGGTGGTGGTGGTGGCGGTGGTGGTGGCGATGGCGATGGCAGTGGTTGTGGAGGTAGTGAATGTGGTGGTGTAAGTGGTGGAGTTGGATGTGGAAGTGGAGGTGGTGTTATTTTTTAAAATAAATGATGGTATTTTGGGAATTAAAAAAATTTATTAAAGGTTCATCTCTGCTTCTTTTGAAAGCAGCTTTGAAAAGCAACTCATAGCCTGCCTTTAAAAGCTGATGTCAAAAGGCCACTGCTTTTAAAATAATCGAAATATTTTATTTTTACCAAACACCTTAAACTGCTTAACTTTAAAATGAAACAAGTTTTTGGCCAAAAAAAAGCAATCCCAAACGGGGCCTTACAAGTCCCTTGCAACATACTAGTTAATTTTAAAAGGTTACGATAGTAACTATTGTCAACCATATTTTAAGAGGAAATGCAAACCTTCGTACGTCCATATCTGGTAATTCGGTCCATGACCTGACAATTTCAATTAACCAAATAGCTTTTAAGTATGTTATTCTCAATTTGACCAAAAAAAAGGTATGTCATTCTCAAATTTTAGAAATAATGACTACTTTTGGTAGAATTTAAAGTTGAGATTTATGACCTCCAAATTCCATGTTTTTTCTTACATAGAATTTAGATTGCTTTGATTTTTTTAATCCAAACATGGGACTTGGTTTATGTCATCAATTTAGAAATTTTAATTTCCTGCAAAATCCCAAGTTTATTTCCCTCATCCAAACTCCGAACTTTAGAGTTAGCACTAAGTATGCTATTGCTTCAAGAATCTCTTTAAAATAACTATAATATGAGAAACTTTCATGTGTAATCGTAAGGCCCCCACACTCTATGTAATGTAACATTAATATGTGGTTCTGTTTTGATCTCTTGTATGTGTGTGAATATTTGAAATACTTTACAAGGACAGGGAAGCATTTCAAAGGAAGGAATCCCATCCCAAGTTGAAAGGATGTGCCAACTCAATCAACTTCCAATGCAAAATTTCCACGAGTCTTCTAGTTCCCAACTCAATCAACTTCCTATTCAGACCCAAGAAATAAGAAAAAAGTGATCATTTGATTTGGATACTCTTCAACATGCATCTTGCTTTCATCTATCAAGTCAATCAGTATGCTTTCATCTATCAAGGTAATCAATATAGTGTGATCCAAACTAATTGAGAATTCGAAAACTAATCAAGTAGTAGAGGCTACCCTATATTGCTACGACCAAGTTTTTCCTTTTGAACAATCAACAAGAAGACAGCATACGGCACTTAAAAAGATATAGGCAGTCCGTAGCTCCGAAGAAAATCAAAATGGTTAGATATTTATCTAGATAATAACCAGATTGAAGGAGGACACTTGAAATCTTTTGCTGGGCTATTGCCTATGTGTGCTCAAACTCATTAGAGTTTTTGGATATCTCCTGGAATGGCCTTGCGGGGTCATTAACTAATCTTACGAGCTTTTCATCTTTGAAATTCTTGTATCTTAATATCAATCGATTAAGCAGAAGAATACTTGAAAGTCTTGGCCAAATGTCCCAACTGATACAAATCGATTTTGGCATGAACTCTCTGAAAGGGGTGATTTCAAAAACCAACTTCTCAAAACTCTCCAAATTACAGTATCGGAATTTATCATCTAACTCATTAGTTTTAAACTTCATGGATTTTGATGACAAATTCAAATGGAAAGACTAAAATACCTTTAAAAATGAATGAAAAATTAGATGGTGTTAAAGTCATATGACAAATCATGGATTTTGATTAACTAAGATGACATTTCTCTTAAATTTTTCTTTAAGGTGACAAATTGAAACTAAGGTATAACTTCAGTTTAGATGACATGTCTACAAAAATCTCTTTATAAAGAGATCCACGTAATTTTGTCGAAGGACACGTATGTACCACGTGTATAGGTATTATATTCTTTTTTGGTACAATCTCACTTAATAAATTGGAAAATTTTAGCACAAGCCATGGGACATGATTTTGGGGCGAACTTAGAAATACGCACCCCAAAATTTCGGATTTACTTAGAGGGAAAGTTAGCGTTATTCCAATTTACTCGTGAAATTCAGTAATAAAAGTCTATAACGTCAATGCACATGATATGCAAGAAGATCATCCTTTTACTCGTTATTCCAATTATTATTATTTTTTTAACAAAATCATCCTTTTCAGTTAATTCAAGTCAATATTTGCAAGAAGATATTTGTGCAGAGTGAAGTCAAGCCAAGCCAAGTCGAGTCAATACCCGCAAGTCGGGTAATTAAATAGTTTGGTGCATGTAGGAAGACAAATCACCATATTAAGTCTAAGTCAATAGTTGTGTGGGGAGAAAAAGAGCAAACATTGGGCCAACGTTCTAATAGGCACTATCTAATAAGTACAGAAACTTATTTGTCAAGAATTTACTCCGATGCATTAAAAAAAAAAAAAAAAAAGGTTGAGTTCCATTTAGCATACCCTCAAACTTTTCTCCATTTTCCATATAAAAATAGAAGTGATTGAAATATATTGTCTAGCAACATTTTCAACAATAATTTCTTTGTAATTATCTCCCACGCATTCATGCAATCTCGGAAAAGCACAATTATTAAGAGCATCACTTTCTCTTTTGTTTTTCTTTATTCTTCCAATACAACTTTTCCACGAGTCTTCTTATCCATTAGTCCCCAACTCAATCAACTTCCCATTCAGACCCTACAAATTAGAAAAAGAAAAAGTGATTATCTGATTTGTATGCTCTTCAGCGTGCAGCTCCTTTTTTTTTCAGAAATTTATAATAAAACTCAGTCCTTGCCTTTTATATATAAACCTATAAATTGAAGACAGAAAAGAAAAAAAAACTAGTTGTACTATATGTTTAATTTATTTTGAATAATGTGTGAAATACCATTATTATCCTTGCATTATATAATTTTTAAGAAAAAAAAAATTATGATGGCAGTACTGTAATTTTCAAGTTTTTTTAAAGCTTGTATATTTGGTCCCTCCTTAGTTTGGGGGAAAAAGTGAAACAATTTGAGTATTGTAGGTGTTTTTTTATTTATAAATATTTAGGGCCCTATTTATGGGCTTACTTACATATGAAAAGCTCTTGTTTTTATCTGTCAAGTCAATCGAATATCGATATAGTGTGATCCAAACTAATTGAGAATTCTAAAATTTATTCAATTACGTAAGTCAAGTCAATATCTAGCCACTTAATTGCATTGTGAAAATTAGTGTGTAACTTAATTTGCAGCAGGGGCAGATGATTCGTGGTCTTTTTCTTGTCATGTCTTGTGTAAATATATGGCTCTGTTTTGGTTTCCTGTCTGTCTGTGTGAATATCTCAAACACGTTACAAGCATTTGAAAGGAAAGAATCCCATCTCACGTTGAAAGGATGTGCGTTCTCAAAAAAAAAAAAAAATATATATATATATTGAAAGGATGTGCCAAAATTAATACATGCTCATCTTTTATAATATCCCACACTTTCAGTCTTATCGTTCACTCAAAAAGATAATTCACTTTTTAAAAATATTCTTTTGGTAAAATGGGTTTTTTTTTAACCTACGATTTGAGTATTGTAGGTGTTTTGTTTATTTATTTATTATTATTTATATTTATGGCCCTATTTATGGGTTTACTTACACAGGATGCAGTTGTATGAAACCATCTCAAGTCAAGTCAATACCTACAATAATTTGTCCTCATTTTTGGCGTGGAACTCGGGATTCTCAAGTCCGTGAAGTTAAAGTCTTATGTGGAGCCACACACACGCATTCATTCGTCCAACCAAAACCAATACCACGTTTGTGAAGTTAAAGTCTTATGTGGAGCTATACACATTCATTCTTCCAACCAATACCACGTTTCCACAAGTCTTATCATCCAATAATGTCCCCAATTCATTGAAATACATGTTCAGACTAGAAGAAAAAGAAAGGCTACTAATTAACTTTAATCCCAAAAAACCACTGGAGGATTAGAAATCATTTTCATAAAATGTTTTTATAAAATAAAAACGAGAAAATGAATTAATTCCCCAATTCATTGAAATACGTTAGTAAAGACTTTCTTTTTTCCCCTTATATATATGGAGAAGCACGGAGACAACCATATATCAATAATTAAATCCTAAACAATTGTGCCTCTTCTCTTCATTGGATCGTGTTCATCTATTAACATGCAAGGCTACGGAAGGTGCTTCAAACTCTTTCTTGCATTTTCTCTGCTTTTGCTACAATACGCCCAAGGAGGAGAGGTGGACCACAGTCAGAGGGATACTAACGTGACCGGGAGGTGCATAGAGAGGGAAAGGCAAGCACTCCTTGCATTCAAACGTGGCCTGGTGGATGAGTCCGATTTCCTCTCTTCATGGGGTTCAGAAGCAGAAAAACAAGATTGTTGCAGATGGGTGGGAGTCTATTGCAGCAACCAAACTGGCCATGTTCTTCAACTTGATCTTTCACCCAAAGTCATAGTCGAAGTTATTCAAGGTAAGTTGATTAGTCCTAAACTGATTGAGTTACACCATTTACAACATTTGGCCCTTTCTTCGATTGATTTCAATGGGATCCAATTTCCATATTTCATTGGTTCTCTAACCAATTTAAGATACCTTGATCTGTCTTTGACTTATTTTGGAGGCAAGTTTCCTAGTCAGGTCGGAAATCTTACGAACTTAGAGTACCTAGACTTAAGTGCTAATCGCTTTACAAATGTAGAAAATCTCCATTGGCTTCCTCTTCTCTCGTCGTTAAGATATTTGGACTTGAGTTTCACAAATCTCAGCAATGTTTTCAATTGGCCGGAAACCGTTAATAAGCTTCCTGAACTAACAAACTTGACACTATATGGATGTGATCTTCCTTCTCCAATTCTTTCCACTCTTTCTTACATAAACTCTTCAAAATCTCTTGCTAGCGTTGACCTTTCTTTCAACCGTTTGAATAATTCTTCAATATTTGTATGGTTGTCCAACTATAATACCAGCCTTGTTTATCTTGACCTCTCTGGGAACCTTCTAGCCGGTTCAATTCCTGATGTTTTTGGAAACATGAGCTCTCTGGCACTTCTTGATCTCTCTCATAACCAACTTGAAGGAGGGGACCCGCATTCTTTTGCCAGGTTATGTAGTTTGCAATATTTGGATCTCTCAAGGAATAATCTGAGTGGACAACTTTCTAAGTTTGTTCAAATATTATTCTCCACATGTGCTCAAAACTCATTGGAGATGTTGGATATTCGTTATAACCAATTGAGAGGAGGAATACCTGAAAGTATAGGGCTATTGTCTCAGCTCCAATATATTGATTTTAGCATGAATTCTCTGGAAGGAGTGATTTCAGAAACTCATTTATCAAAACTCTCCAAATTACAGAGTTTGGATTTATCTTCTAACTCGCTAGTTTTTGACATCCATGCTGATTGGATTCCTCCCTTCCAACTGCACTCCATATATTTGGGGTCTTGCAAGATGGGTCCGGATTTCCCAAAGTGGCTTAAAACTCAAAAAAAATTCTCATACCTTGATATTTCTGATGCTGGAATTTCCAACAACCTTCCAAGTTGGTTTTGGAGTTTATGTCGTAATGTGATATTCATGAATCTCACAAGCAACCAAATTAGAGGTACATTTGCAAATTTGACATTCGAATTTTCACATTTCCCTGAACTACATCTGAGTTCGAACAAGTTGGAAGGTCCAATCCCCTCAGTTCTATCAAAAGTCTCATATCTAGATCTCTCTTATAATAAACTTTCAGGGTCAATTTCGTTCTTGTGTTCAAGTGCAGCTATTGGTTTAAGCTTTCTTGACCTCTCAAACAACAATGTTTCTGGACAAGTTCCAAATTGCTTGACACACTTGGAGAATCTAGTCATTCTTGATTTGAGTTACAATGTTTTGTCCGGGAAAATTCCTACAACAATAGGCTCTGTATTTCGGATTCAAACACTCAAATTAAGAAGCAATAGATTTGTGGGACAATTGCCTTCTTCGTTGAAGAATTGCACAAGTTTAGTAGT